GACACGACACGACAAAAATACACAAAACAAAACGAAATTAGGACGAAACTGAAGTTTGAATTCATGTCCGTGTCATGTTCATGTTACCTGTAAAAAACACTTGCATGGACCAAAATATCTCATAAAATTACATTTTTATGAACAAGGGACCTCAATGGCGCTAAGATCTAACATCCATGACTTCTAGAGTAGATCAAAAGCTCGACTTTAGCCCAAAAGACTCAAAAAATACATAAATAACAACCTAAGTTGGATCTAGCATAAAGAATCATCAAGATGGGAGCTTTTTACCTCGAATGACATGCCAAGATGAAGATGACCCTGGATCTACAAGCCCAAGCTACTCCCAAGCAACCACTAAGTGTTCTTCTTTTTCTTCTTCACTAAAAACACCACCAAATCTCACTTTCAAGCTCAAAACTCACCAAAAGCACTTAGGGTTTCGTTTTTACGGTAGAGAGTGATGGAGGTTGATCAATAGAATGTCCAAAGTGGTATAAGTTGCTTAAATATGATGCAACCCTAAAAATTAAGGTTTGCTCCTGCACCACGTACGTCATGCGTACTCCATGTACGCCCCACGTACGTGGGTGAATCTCGTGTCCAGAAAAGAGCTAGTACGCTAAGTGTACTCATAGAGTACGCCCCGCGTAATAGCTAGGGACCAAAAGATAAAGATTTTGCATTAAAGGGCTAAAACGAAAACATACCAAATTACGAATGTTATATATATATATATATATATATATATATATATATATATATATATATATATAGATATATATATATATATAATGTTATTGATGATGTTATTTTGGAACCATTAGATAGTTTATGGATGATATATTTGATGTTTATTTTGGATTTATTAGATAGTTTATGTAATGTGGTATGTATTGATTTTTGTATTTCTATCAAATTTGTATTTTATAATATATAAAGTAATATCATATATAAATCATTTTGAAAAAAGTATTAGCAGTGACACATTTAATGACGCCATGCACCAATTGCGACGACGCCTGCCTCCAAGGTGCCTTGTCAAAAAAACTTCGACCGTGGCCGAAATATCAATAGAGATGATGCTAGTAGCAACGTCTAAGGATTTTAGCGATGACACTTATTAGAGACGAAATTAAGTGCGACGACAATTGAGTCTTAGGTACGAGGTAATAGCGACAACTTTAGTCATCAGTTGCGACGTTTTTTGTCGTCGCCAAAGGTAAGTTTTTTTGTTGTGAATGTTAAATATGAATATTATCAAACCTCGATTGTGACCGATGTGACACACAACCAATTACTAGTACAATAAGCTTACAGAAAAGATTACTAGTATCCAAATATAATGTAATCCACCATGTAAATCCACAAAGACTTTTCCAATTGAATCAAGAATATAAGGGGACTTCGAACTCACCACCACAATCTATGAAACGTACCAATTTCTTTGAAAAAAATAAGTTTTAATTTGAATAAAATAGTCGTTTTCATAAAGCAGCCTCATAAAAACCATTTGTTTTGAAAGTTACACCCAAAAATGAGAGTGTGTTCATAAGTGCAGAATCATAAAATACGAAAGTTGTCAATGTATGTACAAGTCACATCTTCTCCTTCTCATGATCACCTTAAACATTTAATCCACAACTATAAATCAAAGCTTAGTGATTAGCCCAACACACTATACACCACAATATACATGTAATCATACAAACATTGTCTTTCAGTCCACGGCTGGTTCGCCCCTATTGTCTTTAGCATAAAGTTGGTCTGCACCTAACTTTTAGCATAGCGTTGGCCCGCATGAGTATCTTGGCCTACCGCGCAAAACAGAACCGCCATCAACTCACTATGGAATATGTCGACAAATATAACAAATAGACACACAAGCAATCCGACAACACACTGACTAAACTATAACGACCTGAAAATCCATTCGTCAATGAGGTTAGTTTTCCGTTACATAGATAATTCTTCTTAAATTTATTTATGTTCTAATCAAGTTATAAAATGAAATAGACAAAAATAAAATAAGGATTTATGTGCCACTTAAGTGAATTATAAAGTTTTAATTAAACCATAAAGAGAAAAATACAATTAAGTTAGTGAAGGAATTTATGTGATAGTTAATTTAAACTAAAGTGGTTAAGATTAGGGGTGTGCATAAAACCGTACAAACCGCATAAACCGCCCGCACTACATCACACCGCACCGCATAATGCGGTTTTCAACATTCGCGGTGCAGTTCGCGGTCTGTAATTTTGGTAAACCGCACTATGCGGTGCGGTGCGGTGCGGTTTACGGTTTTTTGATACAAAACCGCGGTTCAAACCGCACCACACCACATATATATATATATATATATATATATATATATATATATATATATATATATATATATATATATATATATATATGAATTATAAAGTTTTAATTAAACCATAAAGAGAAAAATACAATTAAGTTAGTGAAGGAATTTATGTGATAGTTAATTTAAACTAAAGTGGTTAAGATCAGGGGTGTGCATAAAACCGTACAAACCGCATAAATCGCCCGCACTACACCACACCGCACCGCATAATGCGGTTTTCAACATTCGCGGTGCGGTTCGCGGTCTGTAATTTTCGTAAACCGCACTATGCGGTGCGGTTTGCGGTTTTTTGATACAAAACCGCGGTTCAAACCGCACCACACCATATATATATATATATATATATATATATATATATATATATATATATATATATATATATATATATAATTTGTGATCCAAAATTTCAAAAATCTATCAAATCGTATAACAATTATATAAATTATAAATATGTTTGTGAAACTCCTAAATCAAAACATATAAACACTTGTAGTAATATCTACAATTTAGATATATATACATGGAGAAGCTTAGTCCGGAGATATTTATCCATATTTTGCCAAAAAGACAACTATCCAAAATGGAAAAATATGTTTTCATCGATCCTAAATAATTTTACAATTACAAATAATTTCTATTTTGATATCTTAAGAAATCTTCTAATGTATCTAAAAGTTAAATATGCAATATTAAAAGATGATTATCAAACCACATCAAAACCGCCCGCACTGCATCAAACCGTACCGCACCGCATAACGCGGTTAAAAACCTCCGCGGTGCGGTTTGCGGTTTCCACACAATTCAAAACCGCACATGCGGTGCGGTTTGCGGTTTTGACTAAAAATCGCACCAAACCGCACCGCGCACACCCCTAGTTAAGATGTCATAAAGGGAACTACGATGTAAGTCTTAAATGTACTCTAATAAATGAAGATTCATTTTGTCATATGTCAATCTCTCATAAATTCTGACACTTGTCATTTTATGGTATTTTTAAAATAAATAATATCAATGTGTCAATTTGTATGTTTTTTTTTTAATTTTTAAAATTACAAAGTCACATAATACATATAGTTATATAAGTAAAGTATTAAATATAATAAATATGATCATAAATTGCAATAAATATGGTTTTCCTTTCTTATTTTAAAATTTAATTTTAAAAAATACTTAATGTTTACATTTTGATATTAATTTTCTTTTATTTAACACATGTAATACACATATGACACATAATTAATTAAAATGAAACACATATGAAATTATAGGAGTTAAGGGGGAGGGAGATAATGGAACTAAGAGTATAACACATATAAAAAGAAATGTTGTTGGAGTGATAATGGAGCAATGAGTATAACACAGAGACCAATGTTGTAACTTTGTGTTATAAACGTTGATGGGATAGAAGTTTGGTTTGTTTTCCGTTTCTCGCATATTTACGTAATGTATACGACTCTGTAATCATCGTATATATGTATCATTAGGGTTAGGAAGGAATAGTATCCTTGTGTGACAGTGTGAGTGCGGATGTAACCGGGAGAGAAATTAGAGAACGGCGAGAGATAGACTAGATGAAGATTTCGTGAATCGACATCAATGAAACCGCATCGATTGGAAAAGATGTTAGCAGGATTCGCGCCTTGCTGGTTTAGGGTTGCATAATAGCAAGATATCACACAAGTCGGTGGTTCAAACCCTTGCCACTCCATTAGCCACAACCGTGGACTCAGTCATTGAGCGCCCGTCCAATTCGCCCCTTGGAGGCTGGGGTTGGGGTTAGGTGGGCCCGATTAGAGTTGTCGGTATCAACCTTTTTTCAAGATGTAAAAATTCACTTTTGTAGATTATGTAATTTCGAAAAGATACTTTTATAAAATACTTTATTATCTTATACTAGTAATAAATATATAAAATATGATCATTTTATACATATAGAACATCTCTATTTTTTTATGTTTTTGTGGTTATCCTTTTTTCCCTTTTCCTTTTTTCAAACATTATGAAATCAAAACGCTTTTTCAGTTTGTTGATTGTATGTCTCCTGCCGTGTATTTTTTTTTTAGATTTTTTGTTGTTCCGTTGTTGACATGACACCAAAGAAAAATCAAAGGAAATGGTCAACAATTGTCATTATGAGGAAAGGATCCACATGAGACTTGTTTGCATTATTTGTAGACTCCAAAAGTCTTTCTGTTGACCTTAAAGCAACGATCTTATTATTCCCTAGATTATAACCCGTGGAAACCACAGTCGGTATATTTAAAATTTTTATATAGATAAAAAAATAATAAATGTAAAAAAAAAACCAAGATATTGTGGATTGTAAGTTATTATGAATGAATTTGTTAAGCAAAATAAATATAATAATTTTATTAGGATATGATTTTGTATTTTAAAAATTTGAATTGAATTTGATTTGTTACAAAAAAAGGAAATAATAAAAATCATAGAAAAATGACACGTATGAAACAGACATTCTAAAAAATTAAGACGTGTCATTTTTAAGTTTCATGTAGATTAAATATCATTTCTTCATTGTTGTCCATCATTTTTCTGTTGACCTTTAAGCAATGATTTATTATTTAATAAATCCTAATTTCCTCATTGTTGCCTATCATTCCACCAGTTACATATGGCTCTAATCCTACTGCGTCTTGTCGTTCTAACTATTTTCCTACGTTTCATAGCTGCACGGCAGAAAACGGGTGTTGTATCTGTTGGTTCATCACTCACCGCCACAGCCGATGTCAAACCATGGCTTTCATCTTTCGGTGAATTTGCCTATTGGTTCCATCAAGTTCAAGGGAGCGATAATTTCTTATTATCCATATGGTATGACAAGATACCTGACAAGACGATCATTTGGTATCCAAAAGAAGGTCAAATGATGCCTAGAGGATCCAAAGTTGAGCTACTTCGTGAAAGTGGACTCGTACTCACTGATCCTCATGGTACACAGGTATGGAGATCTGGGTCCATTTCCGCTGTTGCATCAGGTTGTATGAATGATACAGGTAAGTTCGTAATTTTTGGTAGCAATTCTCGCAAGATATGGGATAGTTTTGATTATCCGGCAGACACACTGTTGCCTAGTTAGGTTATAGAGAGAGGTGGAGGGATGAATTCAACAATCAGTGCAACAAACTTCTCTGGTGGACGATTCCAGTTACGTCTGCTTCAAGATGGAAATCTTCTTCTTAATACTCGAAATATACTTTCAGGTAATCCTTTAGTTGATTACTATCGTAGTGGTACTAGCGCTCACTCCAACTCAACAAATTCTAGCGAACGAGTGATCTTTGATGCAATGGGATACATGTATATTTTGAGAAGAAATGGCGAAAGGTTGTATCTTACTCAAAGAGGCTCAGTTCCTTCTGGAGATTATTATCACAGAGCTACTCTCGATTCTGATGGGGTCTTTAGACAATACTACTACCCTAAGAATTCCACTGGCAATGCAAGCTGGGAAGTTGTATTGTATATACCAGATAACATATGTGAGGACATCCGTGGGAATATAGATAGTGGAGCTTGTGGGCAGGGGCGGCCCAATCAATTTTGGGGCTCTAAGCAAACCAAAATTTTGAGACCCTTTGACCTTTACTATACTCCTCAATTGTATTGACATACAAGTTCACTCTTTATGTTTTCTTCATGGATAATTTTAATATGGTATAAAGGAGATTTCTTGTGATAATAACCTAAATCAACAAGAATTTGATGAAAATTTCTATATGATTCTTATAACACCTGATATAACAAAATTACATAACAAAATTGTTACCAAAACCTATCATTCACTGTCAAGAATTTACGTATTTTGGACTAGATAGCTCAATCACATAGCTATATTCTATTCGAAAAAGTAATTGAAAGTGATATGACTAACGAATCAAATCACCCTTACATTGGGCCCCCTTAGAATTGGGGGCCCTAAGCCCTAGCTTAGAAAACTTATACATAGAGCCGGCTTTGCTTGTGGGTTTAACAATGTTTGCAACCTCCAAGATGGGCGGCCAAACTGTAAATGTCCACAGGGGTTCTCAATTGTTAATCCAGATGATCCAAATGGTGATTGTAAGCCAGATTTTACTCCAAGCTGTTATCATGAAGGTAAGTCTAATAATGGAGGAGATGTGCTTGGTTTCATCGAGCTGAATAATACTGATTGGGTATTTTCAGACCATGGAAACTTGGATCCAAGTAGTGAACAGACCTGCAAAAGTATCTGCTTGGAAGATTGTTTTTGTGCTGTTGCAATATACAGGGACGCCAAATGCTGGAAGAAGAGACTTCCACTCTCTAACGAGATTATGAGTGCTACAGATAACATGAAGGCGTTCGTGAAATACTGGATAGCTGATGGGCCTTTTCAAAACCCTCATCGGCCCCCTAGAGAAAGAAAAGATAAAATAAGTTTGATACTTGTGGTATCGGTCCTTTTAGGTATGTCTGTGTTTGTAATCTTTGTATTGATTGGTGTGATTTGTGTGGGTTTTCTTGTAATCTACAAAAAGAAGCCCAGAAACACATATCCAATTCGTAAAGCAGTTGAATCTAATCTGCCTCACTTTACATATCAAGAACTAGTTGAAGCTACCTATGGGTTCAAGGATGAATTGGGAAAGGGGGCTTTCGGGATAGTCTATAAAGGTGTGATAGGGAAAAAGATGGTGGCGGTGAAGAAGTTGAATACAGTGGTTCATGATGGTGAAAAGGAATTCAAAACCGAGGTTGAGAGCATTGCAAAAACTCATCATAAAAATTTAGTGCAGCTTCTTGGGTATTGCGATGATGGTGATCAGCGGTTATTGGTTTATGAGTACATGAGCAATGACACTTTGGCGATGTTTCTTTTCGGGGACACAAGACCTACATGGAGACAGAGGAGTTATATTGTTGTTGGGATTGCTAAGGGACTTGTATACCTTCATGAAGAATGTAGCACCCAAATCATTCACTGTGACATAAAGCCTCAGAATATACTTCTTGATGACTACTTCAATGCTAAGATTTTGGACTTTGGATTGGCAAAACTTTTGATGATGAATCAAAGTTATACCAACACTGAAATAAGAGGAACAAAAGGATATGTTGCTCCTGAATGGTTTAGGAACACACCTATCACAGTAAAGGTTGATGTCTATAGCTTTGGTGTGTTGCTGCTAGAGATAGTTTCATGCCGAAAGAGCTTGGCTTTTGAGACTGATGACAAAGGGGTGATGGTTTTAACTAATCTTGCATGGGATTGCTATCAAGAAGGTCGACTGGATGCATTTGTTGAGAATGATTTGGAGGCGTTAAATAACCACAAAAAACTTGCAACATTTGTGATGGTTGGTCTTTGGTGTGTACAAGAAAACTCGTCATTGAGGCCTACCATGAGGAAGGTCATCCAGATGCTTGACGGAGTAATTGACGTGGCCAAACCTCCATGTCCATGCTCTTTCTTACCAGTTATTGATCTCTAGTTACTCTGTTATATATGTCCAGGTAAATCCTATATGTACGTTGATGTTGATGAATATGTTTATTTCTTAATACGATTCAATCATAAACTTGGAATTATATAAAGTAGACTACCTAATTTGGTATGTTTGGTTGTAGGTTGAAGTAATCAAAAAATGTTGTTGTTGGAGTCATATCTAGTAAAGTTGAAGGATAGCTGTGAAGATTAAATAAAATTCAAGGGCACAAATGAATAGGCTGAAACTATGGATGATGTTGTTGCTGGTTGTACTATTGCAGTTACTGATTGTACTCTTTCCTAGATACTAATATACTAGTAATACAAATCTACTCTAATTCTACTTTAATAAATAAATGTTTTTTTTGCCGTTTGTCACACTCTCATGCAAATGTTATTTTGTGGTTATTTTGAATTAATTTTTATTCTACATATCATTTTATGGTTTTTCTATTTTATTAATTTCACATAGTATTTAAATGCAATAATAAATGCATATTAATTTCTTTAATGCACTTTTTTTTTATTTCAAAATTACTATATTACAGCTTTATTAATTTCTTTTATTTATTTATCTAAATTATTTGTTTAAATTTAGAAAAAAAACACTTTAATTTTTATAATTCAATATTTTTCTTATTTTTCTTATAAATTCAAACTTCTCAAATGTTTAGAATTTTATATTTAATTTTTTCTTTTAAATAAACCCATGTAATACATGGGTCTCGTACCTAATGTGTTGTAGATATTAGTTTGGGTAATTGAGTCCGGCATCGGGTACTTCATAGAATTGGTGAAATAAGTATTATCTATAAAAGTTGGTCCTATGTACTTAATAGGATTGGTGAAATAAGTATGTACTCTATATAAGTTGGTCCTATGAGAGTAAAAAGCAGATAAAATAACTTTCTTGTTTCTTTTTATATATTTTTTTCCATCTTAGTAGATTAGGTTCTTTTTGTATGTTTTGATTGTTGACGGATGTGTAGGAAAATATAGTGAGATTTCTATATGTTAGTATTAGTTGTGTTTAATAAATGTCTAGTTTTGTTTTTAATAGTTGATTATGTCAAATATATGAATGTGTTATTTATCAAAAGCAGCGGCAAATCTAGGATTCAAACTTACTGGGGTCCAATTAGTCCAATTTGTTGGGATGATAAATAAAATAGTCGAAAAGATTTGGTTATATATCAGGTTATCAATAATATCATATAAAATAATTATAATTTTAACTTTTAATACCAACTATCTAACATAAGTTAAAAAAATACCATCTAAGACAAATATAATTTTAATAGCAAAAATAAAACACAATTTAAAAAAATATCAATTAAAATAAATATAATTCAAAAGTCATGGTCCATATAATTTGCCTATCAATATTTTTTTTTAATATTTTTTTCCATGAGCCGTGACTCAAATTATTGTATCCATATATGAATTACTTAGTGACTCAAATTATTGTATCATATAAAATAATATCATACAAAATAATTATAATTTTAACTTTTAATACCAACTATCTAACATAAGTTAAAAAAACACCATCTAAGACAAATATAATTTTAATAGCAAAAATAAAACACAATTTAAAAAAATATCAATTAAAATAAATATAATTCAAAAGTCATGGTCCATATAATTTGCCTATCAATATTTTTTTTAATATTTTTTTCCATGAGCCGTGACTCAAATTATTGTATCCATATATGAATTACTTAGTGACTCAAATTATTGTATCCATATATGAATTACTTAGTTAAGATGATTGGAATTAGATATATTAAATTGTTTTATAGAAAATCAGGATGAATTTACTTTGGGAAAATCAAACTCACCATTAATTAAAATGTGAGACAATTTATTCATAAGGCTGGTCGGTCACACTAACTTTTTTAGATAAAAACAAAGAAACAATGTTAGACGAAGGTGGAGACGGCAACGGAAGCAACGACAGTTGTATAACGCCCAAAAACGGATGAAGGGGGCGGTGTTTGTGCGTTGCCTATACTCAACACTCTTCAGAAATTAATAAGTGGTAACAGGTGTCGATTCTATGTGTTTAGTTAGATGAGCTTTTTCCATGTGTAGATTAATGTTATATTACATTATATATATACATATATATATATATATATATATATATATATATTAAATCCAAAGGATGTTAGGAATAGTACTTTTTGAGGTTTTAGGTTTTTGCCACAAATCTTTAGTGAATTTGACACTTTTCACCCTTAAAGCAAAAAATTTTATATTTTTGTGTTTTAATTAAGTTTTTGTGCCTTTAGATTTTTGCCACAAATCTTTAGCAACTTTGACACTTTTCGTCCTTACGGTAAAAACTTTTACATTTTGGTGTTTTTGCCACAAATTTTTAGTGACTTTGACACTTTTCGTCCCTGCAGTCAAAACTTCTACATTTTGACATAAAAAACATAAAAACCTCATTTAGACTTTTGCCACCATATTTTCCCAACTTTGACAATTTTCACACTATTGCCACAACATTTTTGGATTTTTTCCACCAGTGTCCCTTCTTTTGGTTGTTGTACACTTTTGACATCTAATTTTAGGGGTTGTCGACTTTTCCCATATTTCTGACGATTTACACTTTCAACACATATCTTTTAAAGTTTGTTGATTTTTCCCATATTACCCCAATAGCGGCGTAGCCGCGGGTTTTTTACTAGTTTCTATTATAAAAAAAAGGTTCCATGGACACTCTTTCAATCAATGTAGATTCGCACGTGTACCCTGGACGTTATCAGACAGTGTCTTCCTCCTTGAAGTCGAGGACTCAAGTCCTCTCTCGGACATAAATTGATTAAGGAGCAATTAAGGCATAAATTAGATTTACCCTTTAAAAAAATATGAATGGGTTATTTTTCTTCTCGATTTTAGGATTTTCACCTAATAAGTTTTGTTGTGTTATTTCCATGACATTAAATTAAACACTTCATTTTCCACAATTTAATTTGAAAAATTAGATCCCGCACATCATAGACATCATAGTTCCACACTAACAAAATATTTGAGGAAGTTAAAGTTTTTTCGAAGACATAAAAAACAATATCAGGACATTACAGTATTTCATAAAGATTAAAGTATTCAAATTAGATTCCTCACATCATAGTTCCACACTCAAAAAATATATGAGGAAGTTAAAAGTATTTCGAAGTCATAAAATACTATGTGACGAAATTAAAGTATTTCATTGACATTAAATTATTTCAACATCCATAAGTTTTGTTGAATCTGGGGAGATGCGACCTTCTTTACTTCTGTATGGATTCTGTTTCGTCATTGTCAGCTCCAAATTAGGTTGGAGGGAGTGGTGCCACAAAAGTTGCACTCCCTTCACTGTCACGCAGGCAACACGTCAACGACTACCACAAAAGTATGGTTTCATGTCACACCCAAGGAGTGGTGCCACACTCTTTTTTAAATAAATAAATTTTTTTGTTTTAATTAAAAACAAAAGATTTCATTAATTAAAAATAAAACCATTACGTTACTTAAAAAAACATGACATTAAAAAAAATCCTAGGGAAAATAGGGAAGCATATCCCCGTAGTGGTAGAAAGGAGGCGAATAAACCGGTTGATCAAGTGAAGGTCTTGGAGTTGTGGTTTTTCTAGTGGGTGTTCTTTTGTTGGTGGGATTTTTGAAGGATAACATTTTTGTGGGTTTTAAAATAAAGAAGATGGTAAAAGAATAAAGTGTTTGTGAGTGATTTTGGTTAATATGATTAGGTATTTATAGTGGTAGTAAAAGAAGTTAATTTTTTGAATTTTCACCGTTTGGAAACGGTAACCACAAGCGACCAATCAAAACAAAGGAAGAAATGCTCCCTCTTAAGGTTGTAGTGTGGCCTCAACCGCACCTGGACCACACCCATGGGGCGGTGTTTGTGCTTAACACAGAAGCTTTGATTGTTTGAAGTTGGAATGAAATTGGGTGAAACCCCGTTCTCACAGGGTGAGAAGTAATTCTCATGACGTGAGAGTCCTCGTGAGGTGAGAGTATAATCTCACGATGTGAGAATTGTGCACCCCAAAGCCCACAAAATATTTAGGGTTTTCAAGGTATTTAAAGGTAAGGATTCATGTTTTAGGGTATCTTCTTAGCCTCCATCATATCTAGAACCTCTTGGGAGAAACCCTAGCCTCTAGTTTCAAGATTTGAGCCTCCCTCTCCTCTCTCATCCATTTTTGGAGTTTTTAGTGGTTTGAAGCAACTGTTTCATGCAAGATTGATCCTTGAAGCTTGGTAATTGAAGATCTCAACTTTCATCTACCTTCTAGACCTTTGTAAGTTATAAAGTTCCAAGCTTTATTACATTTCATCTTTGGATCTAAGTGTATTTGGTCTTTTGGTCCATTTTCATGAGTTTTGAGTGACATTTGGGAATAAAGTTTGCAACTTTATTACTCTCCAAGGTCCCAAGAACATTGTATGTTTCAGATCTGGACTCCAACACCTTTTGATCAGTTTAGAATGTTTTTGTGGACCTCTTGGACTAGGAAAGTTATAATCTTTTGCCTTCCCTTGTATCTATGCAAGTTATCTTGGTCCTTTAGGTCATTTTGGTGTATTAAAGTTTAGATCTTGAATGATTGTGGCATTATAATGGATAAAGTTGGAAACTTTATCCATCTATACATCATGTTGATTCAGATCCGAAGGTTGGAGACTTGGGCTTAATGTATTTAGCTGAGAAAGATGCATTCTTGGTTCCTCTGGGACTTTTAGACGAGATCTTGGTTGTTCGGTTCATCCTAATGGATAAAGATGGAAACTTTATCCATTATAAAGCTATTTAGGAACTATATCTGAGGTTATGGGCCTTGGTTTGAAGAAATTAAGCACTTAATGAAGATTTTTGTAACGCTTGGTTTAGGTATTGGTCAGTTTTCAACATTTTTAGAGTTTTAGGCTGCGACTTGACGAGTTGGGGAGCTCCAACTCGTCGGGTAGAAATCATATTGGACGTGGGAT